GGCCAATGCTGACATCAAATTATCTAAATAATTTTTGTAAGGTTGTCCTTTGCCATAGGGACAAATATATAAGTCTTTGTATGCCTTCTGCTCTATTCCCTTGAGCTCTATTTGTCTTAATTTTAAAATAATATACTATTTCTTTGGCAGCTGATCTGTTCCCCTCATTACTCATTTTTTTTTTTTTTCCCCCTGATAAGTCAACCTGCAATTAATCCAGAATGCTGAACTTGTTTTGACTTTGCAGATGCCAACACAGTAAGTGACTGGGATATCATCACAGGCATGAGATAAGGACTCTCTGGGGAGATCAAGAAGAAACTAAGATGCAAGAAAATGCTGCCATTATTATCTGCAAGTGGGTTAGCTCAATGTCACTGCAGCAAATTCTTTGCGGTTACTGGAAGTCATCTCTTAGTACCAGAGAGCAGTCCTGTCCCTGAATATCTGCTAAAGAATATCAATAAGAACATTAAAACCAGATTAAAAACAAACCCCAAAACACATAATGCTCTTAAGTCTTTGATTGTACTGTCATGACAGTGTACTGTGGCAGTTTTCTCTTGGATGCATCTCTCTGGAAAAGAGCAGAGCATTTGAGGGAACTCTACAGCTGGTATCAGGGAAATTATTTCTCTGATATCTGTGCAGCTGTGCCTACACGTGCCTCTTGAAAGCTGTGCTTTTTAAGCTGATCTGTCATATTGACCTGGCAGCAAAAATGTGTTGCTTGTGATTTTATTTGCTCACTGTCCATTAATGAGAATAGCGGAAGTGAAGCGCCTGGGCTGAATGTGCTGTGATCTGCTTTCACCAGCGTTCACAGTCACTGGCGCCTCTCTGGGCTGCCGTCAAGCTGCCGGCACGCATTACTGCAAATTACGGAGCAACTCGTGTAGGTGCTGCTCGGGGCTCAGGAGATTCCAGATCCAGTTTTACCTAAATGATGGCAACCCTGCATGTGTTTGCTTGAGCTTGGCTGCAGAAGGTCAGAGGATGACCCTGGAAGCAGTTTAGCTGTTCCTTGCTCAGACCTGAGCTGAGGGGATAATGTCACCTGAGATACACTCTTGCATGAGCAGCTGGATCATTTGATGCATTTCTTTTGAAGCCTGGTGAATGGGGAGGAGCTGCACAGCTTCTGGGCTGTGCCACTGAGAGTATGGAATGTTCAAAGCACGTCAGGTAGAGGTGAGCATGAGCTAGGAACCAGCAGCTCCTCATTCAAAGAAGTGTGAGTGAGGATCAGCATGAGGGAAGGGGTTTGTGCTCATCTGGATGTGAGGACTGCACCAGGCTGGTGGTGTCCATGCCAGGACAAATGGGAAAAACCCATATTGTCACGCTCACACGTCAGCTGCGGAGGAAAAGCCCTCCTGGTCTCTTTGTCAGGCATGGAGTAACGTCCTTGCTGTCTGCAGGGATGAATGTGGTATGGTACACCCAAAGCCACCACTGGAATGGGGTTGCCTGCAGGACTCCCTGTCTGTCTTGGGAGTTAAAAGAAAAGACGCTTGAGCTTCCAGTACCATTTCTAGAAACTTGCTGACACACACCATTTGTCCCCAGATTTCTCAGCTTCTAACCAGCCTGTGAAATGTCAGAAAATTGGACAGCGCTCCTATTTTACAAATGGGGAACAGAAAATTTAATTTGCTTCTAATATCTCCCCTCATGAGGAGCACAAGATGGGCAGCAGCTTTTTGGCTGTGTTAGGCCATCAGACCAGCCGTAATCAGCATGTTTTATGTTTCTACATGGGCTCCTGGCCACCTGTATAATGTCCATCTGTTGCATCGGGCCTGATGCCTACCAACATTGCAATCCAGATCATTTGAACGAGGCACGGATTTCCAGGAGGTGATGATGTTCCTGAAGGACAGTTTGCAGTAGCATGACAAATGCTGTCCCTTCTGTGTGAAGTCTTTCCCATGCACCGCTCTTAGGGCAGTGCCGTTCACTTCTTGTTACTTTAAGGCATTTGGGGAGATTCATGTAGAAGAAATGTGAACATGGTGTGGCAATGATAACGAATATTCAGAGACAGTCCCTGGCCCTCTGTGACTGTATCTGAGCAATTTTAATGTATTAATCTTTGAGCTGCACAGTGCTTTTCTGTGAATGGTAAATTTCTTAGAAAAATGCAGTTTTAGAATAACCACATCTATTTGCCATCTGAAATGAAATTTGTTAGATAGCTGTAAGAGGAAAGGACATGGTGAAACTGTCTTCCAGGAGTGACAGAGGACCCGTCTCTGCCTTCCCCTCAGCCAAGGTGCAAGGACACCATCACATCAGGCTGTGTGCTCAAGTTCCCTTTACTGTGAAAGGAAGTTTGAACCTGCATCACCCACCTCCCAGTGAATGTCCCAAATTATGGGGGGACCAATAATCCGAAAGCCAGCTGCTGGTCTTATTCTACCTTTTAAGAGCAATTAGGGTTCTTAGAACAGGGTTTGGATACTGAGGCTCTGAGCACCTAGGTGAATACTTTTAAAAGTATTAAGCTAGGGTGTTTGTTTGTTTGTTTGTTTTTTTACCCTCAATGACTGCGTCCTAGTGGAAATGGAACAAGTTTGATAGGATGTACCTGACTCCTGCACCTGATAATCTGACAGGTTTTCCTGCTACTCCTTTGGAAGAGAGGATGGTAAAGCCTCTTTGGGGGAACACTTAGTTAAAGGTCTAATAGTAACAGAATGAGAGGGCCCATATGAGAAAGTACAGCCAGACAATGAATTTCTGCCAGGGCATCTTGGTCTTGGCTGGCCTCCTATATTGAGCTGTGTCTTGGCTATGCTAAATGCAAGAAGTTACAAAATTGTTTTTATTGTTTTGTTTTGTATGTTCAGGTTGAATTTATGTCTTGCTTGGAAGACAGCAGCTTTGTCTGCATTAGCAAATAGCACCATGCAGTAGGAGGAGATCTGCGGAACAAATAGTAATGAAGACCCAGGCAAATTTCAAGGGGTTTGCTTGAAAACAGCTTTATTCTAATTCCACTTGAAGGAAATTTTGAAAGAAACTTGAGCAAATCAGGAGACCAAATATTGCATGTTGAAGATGTCAACAAAACCTTTCAACTTATTAGGAATATGCCAAGTTTTCTGCCAAAACAAAGACTTCAAAAAACCTGGCATGTGTTCATGAGACATTTCAGTGCTGTTGAAGCTGTATTTTTTGTTGGCAATTGTTTCAGATGAAATTTTTTCTGGTGCTTCTTGAGGTCACCTGGCATCCTGCTTAAACCTGTATATCTTGCTGTGTGTGTGATTCTTGCTCTTGTTTCACAGAGGTCCCTACGCAAAATTGATCTCTTCATAACCCTTTAGAAAGATATTCTTATACTTATCTCTCTGCCTGCACCAGAGAAGGGAAAAAAAATCCAGTGCTGCTGTCTCAACTTTCTTGTTCTGACTGCTCTGCTGTGTGACTGTGAAATCAGTCATGACACATTTGCCTCAGCTGCAGGAAACTGAGAAAGAGGGGGCAGCAACAAGGGCAAGACGGGCATTCAGGAGCTGAGAAGAAAATCAGGGATCGCATGCAGGAGAGCAACCCAGCTGCAATGAAAGAAGGGTGTGTGAGGCATGTGCAGAAGTGGGCTTTTAATGTAGTAAACTTTGCCCGCATGCTGAAGGCTGTAGATAATGTTATGTGGTAAAGGCAGGGAGGGCTTACAGTGCTTGCTCTGAAGATTGCGTGGACTCTGCAAAGAAAGAAGATTATTGAGAGTAAATCATAGTGACTTTCTCATGCAAAGGTACCCTCCAATGCAGTCAACACCCCAGGACAGCAAGTCTTCCTGTTACTTAGCAAGTTTGTGTTTTAGGTATTTTATTTTACCATGACTCTGGCTGACCTCCGTATCAGTTAGATCCAGTGATACGTATTTGGGATACTTTAATATTTTACTGAGATGTGATTTGTTTAGTGTCGGACATCAAGACAGGTCAAACATCAGTGCAGGTTTTGGTGTGAGTGAACGGCCTAGGATTTTCTGCCAGATGTCTCATTAATCTTGGCATATCCAGAAGCATATGGCAAGGAAACGTTATACTCTTGACAGAATACTGGTTTTGGAGTAGTATGTAAGTCTAATATCAGGGATAAAATAGACATCAGCAAATAGCTATTGGCAATTTAACAACCTGTAACCTGATGTAGTTTTTATATCAAGAGATGAGAAGACTGTATTAGAGAAATAATCTGTATACATTGCCCTCTTCATAGTTGCCAACTAGTCTTTAATTTGCATGCTCCAAATATCAGTTGCTTTTAAACCTACTCAGTGTGTAAAACATGCCATCTTCAACACCAGCTCTGAATATTGTTTGGTGCCTGTTGCTAAATTTTTGTGGTGCCACTTATCCTAAACAATTCATCGATTTGTGTTTTACTTGTTTGTAACAAAGTATATTCTTTGAGATTTCTCTCAGTTCCAGAATGAGAATTAACTACTATGGTAGCGCAACCTAAACCACTATACAAGCATAACAAAAACAATTGTTACAAGTCTTTCAAGTTTTATAAGTCCAAAGTTTATATTTAAATATTTCTTGGTATTGCATGTTCAGCATGTAACTTGGATTCCTTTCTGTATGCCTTTAAGAAACAAGAACAACATGGGCTTTAAAATTCCTTTTAAAGATCCCTGTGCCTGAAAATATATGTTGGTTTTTGGACAGAAAGAAAAATGTCGCTAAAAATTGTTGATTTTCAGGAAAACTGTCAGTGTTCATTTGAAAAGATGAAATCAGAAACGTTTGGGGTTTTGGAGTTAGCAGCATACCAGATAGTTTTCAACTGTCTATTCAGGTTTATGTTTTTAGAAGAGAGGCAGTGTCAGACAGTCAGAAGTTTGTCTGGACTTTCTCTGGGCTCAAGAAAGGTGTGCAGGTAATTGTAAATATGTGTATGAAGAGCAGCTTTTAGCTGGGTTTTGAAATGACTGGGAAAACCTGTGTGTGACCAACTTGTTTTTCTCTGTTGTTTTACAGGTTCCAGAATCTGCTGTGGTCTCGAAAAGCATTTGTGGACAGTGTTAAGGTGTACAACCAGAGCTACATCTACATGCCAGCCTTCTCAATGAAGACAGGGACGGGACCCTCTCTGCGTGTCTATTACACCCTGGAGGACTTTGGTGCCAAGCAGGCAGTCCTTTTTGCCAACCCCAATTTCCTGCGTGACATTGGCAAGTTCTGGAAGAGCAAAGGTATCCATGCCAAACGGCTTTCCACGGGACTTTTCCTAGTCAGTGCCGCCCTTGGTCTGTGTGAAGAAGTAACAATTTATGGCTTCTGGCCATTCTCGGTGGACCTGCACGGGAAGTTTATTAGCCATCATTACTATGACAATGTCTTGCCCGATTCTGGATTCCACGCCATGCCAGAGGAATTTCTGCAGCTCTGGTTTCTTCATAAAAGTGGTGTACTGAGAATGCAGCTAGAACCATGTGAGGACCCTTTAATCCAGTCTTCTGCCTGAGGATTGTAGGAGTTGGTTTGGGAGATCCAGTAGTTTTTAATTTCCATATTCTCCAACAGAGAGTTCTGTTTTCTGTTGATTCTTTTTAAAGGGAAGATAATCATGGATCTGCATGGACCATAAAAATGCTACCTGAAGCTACAAATGGAATATGTCCTTAATGTATAGTGCTTTATGGAACTGGGGTGGGGGAAGCAAATCTCTCCATCAAGTCCATTCAGCAGCATTGTGATAACAATGGCAGAAGCAGCACAGCTGAACTTTCCGGGGGACATTTTTAAATGACTGATGTAAAAAGGGCATTAAGGCTCGGAGGTACACAGGGCCACCCACAAGCTTTTGCTGACAGTGCCAAATATGACTGTCTGTTCAAAACTCCATTTCATTCCAGATTGGCACCTCATACAACTTTCCTTTTTCCTTTTTTTTTTTTTTTTTTAAATGCTGCCCTATTAAATACCCAAGTACAATAACTGCCATCAATCAGACCTAGAGAGCAAGTGTGCATTGTTGACTTTCTTTGCTTCTTTCCTTTTTCTTTTTTTTTCCTTTTTTTTTTCTTTTACTCTTTTTTTTTTTTTTTTTTTTTTTTTTTCAATGGTGGAAGGAAAAGGAAAGGCTTAAAAGCCCCAGGAGCTGAGTACCATCAACTTCACTGAAGACTCTTGGGAGAGTGAAGGGTGCTAAGAATCTGGTTAGAAGAATGTCCTAGGAATGCCCTGCTACTAAGTATGGATGGACCTACCTGTTGTAGATTTTATCAGGATATTTAGGTCTTTGCACTTATAGGTATGGTGATGCTATACCGTGGGCAAGAGCTGGTTAAGGGAAATTGGTCTGAAAATAAAATGTGTGTTACAAAACCAGTAGTGAAGTGCAGCCTGGTTTCCACAGCGACTTTTGTAGTAGGGATGACCTGTTTTGCTGTCCAGCCTTAGGGATTAATTCTGTATTCATTTGGACTCCAGATGTTCCATTGACTGTCAAGGGAATTTGAGGTGTTCAGTGGAATGCAGAATGAGGTTCTTCATTTGCTTATAGCAGAAAAACTGCAGAAATGAATGTAAGTGTCATTTAAAATGAGTTGAAGCTTCGAAAATCCTTTCTCTTTGTGTGACTAGCTCTTCTGCTTGGATTGTAACGTTAGCCTTAAAGACTTGTACTTTTCTCGCAAGATTGTCTCTGGTTAAAGATAGTCTGAAAAATAAGACAGCCTTTGGGAGCACTGAAAAGCTGCATAGCCAGCAAGAAAAAAGAAAAAAAAAGAAAATGGCAGGTCCTTACGTAAGGCAGCCTCTCCCTCTCAGTGGGTGAATTATGTCAGCGTGCGCATTGCTTGCACTGCTCCGGCCAGCACAACGCCTGAAGGATTGTTTTATTTTGGGTTATTACTTGGGCAGCAGATGGTCCTAACGCCATGTAAATGAGAAATCTTTTTGTTTGTTTGCTTTGGTTTAGCACTGTAGGACAAGAAGACAACAGCAGGTCAGTCCACAGTGCAATTTCAACTGCAAGATGTTAACCACCGTTAACTTTAAAAATCCAGATCAGTGTTCTTTGTTATCCTTCCGTCATTAGTAGTGAAATTCTAGTCAAAGTATTAAAACAGAACTGTCGTCAGGTTTCCACAACAATTTTGTGTGCTACCTGTTTTAGCTCCAAAGTGCTAGTATTTTGGGAGATGTGTCCTATTATATGTTGACAACATCTCTCTTTGTAGAATACCAGCTGCAAGTTATATAGATATAATTAAAAAAAAAAAAAAGCAAAATCTGTGGCTCTTCTTTAAATATGATTAATTCAACTGTCTGTGTAGGACACTGGGAAAAAAAATAATGTTTTACTTTTTAAACCTATGTTTCGTAATAAAATCTTCTTTCTAAATATGGATATTCCAAGCATAAAATGGGCACTGTTTCATAGAATTACAAGGCAGTGCTAAACTGTAACATGGAGATTTGGATTAAATAGCGTTCTAGAGATTGTTCTGATAAACTCCAAATGTGCTTCTGTAATCCATTTTATCTTTGTCCATATTTTTGTTAAAATTACGGTCAACACACTGATGGAACATCACTTGATAATTCGTTCCCTTTCCTTGTGTTTGTTTTATCTATGATGTGGGCACTTGGTGAGGAAGGATTTGAAACTAAAATGTTTTCGTTACTGCTTGTTATGGCAGAATTTTACTGCCTTTCTTGGAGAAGAAGAGGTGCCTGTATGGTTTTTATTGTATTCATCAAGTTTTGCACTTTTTAGTGCTTTAAAGATTACATTATCTGTGAGAACAACAGTCAAAATACGGTGTGCTAAAATGGCACTTCAGCAGAAACCAGCATTTTCTCGGGGGTGAGAGGGAACGAGGAGAGTAGGCGGGAACTGCCTCTTTGCTGGTAATTTTTTTGTATTTTTACCAACACTTGGGAATTTAGTTTTGAACCTCTCTGATGGCTCTCCAGCCCTTTGGTAATCCTTTTTTTCCATGTTTTGGGAGAATAATTTGGATTAGAAGAACAACAGAAGAACATGTATTTTTGTAGGAAAAGTCTGCAGTGTTTCATAATGTCTAGCTTGTTCATGTTAGACTGGTGACCTGGGTGTCTGGAGATGTTGTATTCCCCACCTCTGCAAGACTGAGGCAGGCTGAACCTGTAGCCTGTAGTCTTTGTGAGTCCCTTCTTATTTCTGCCGTCCTAACGTTTGCAAAGAGATAGCTTCCAAAAAACTATGGGGGTAGGAGGGACTCAGGCTGTGTGTGATGTGTGACTGATGTTGGAGAAATTGTTTATTCTGGCTCTATTCACATTTATGTATAGTGAACATAACTATCTTACAAAGACAACTACATTTGATGGGGAAGTAAAGGCTTCAAGGATGAATAATTTTCTGTAACTTCCAGAAAACTGGCAGCTGAGGAAAGCAAAGAAATGAAAACAAATGCCCCTTTTGAGAGAGCAAAAATCTGTTTTAGCTGGCTGACTTGTCAGTCCATGCAAACACTGGCCAGTGATCAGCCTTTTGCCCAGCAAGTAAAAAAGGGACACAGTAGAGTACTGCAAGTGTTTTGTGGCAAAAGCAGTCACAAAAAAATAAAAAAGAAAAAGAAAAGCAGCTGGGAACATGAGAGTGGCAGCTGCCTGACAGAAATGTTGGAGAAAATATGCTCCATCCGTGCTGCTGCTCAGCATGAGGCTTGCCTTGTCTAAATCTGGGAGGGAGGGCATGTCCATGTATAGGATCACTGATGTGAAATATGGCATTGCATGCAAGGGACTGAAGTTGTATCCTTCTTCAGGAGGGAGGTCACACCGTGGGATAGGACCATACTTCTGCTTAAAGACAGTCACAAGCAAATCCAGGAGGCTAATTGTAAGTGTTAACCATGAAAAATCAGCATCTTGCGGTCATGGTAAACCTTGGTCAGGGTGATTATATCCATCCAGCATTTACCTATTGATTGATTCCAGTCCGTTGATGGCACTGCCCTTAATCAAATCTCATTACTTGTGTTGCTATATTTTCCTTGAAATGAATTGAAATTTTGATGTTTCTTTTGTTAGTGAGATGCCCTACTCTAGCTTCTCTATTTCCACTGCCAGTCCCTGAATTTCTCTGATAATGTAGCACAAGTCTTTGCCAGGTTGAAAGCTACTGCAATTTGTCTTCAATAAAAAATAGATCAGACTGCCCGAATGATTTGTTAATGTTCCTATTATTGTACGCATCAAGTTATCATAGAGGTGACAAAGTAAAGAGGCACTGGAATCATTGCCCTGCATAGGAAGCATTACTCCATGTTTGTAAGTAGAAGAAACTAAATTCCTTTACAAGAGTTGTTCATGGAAGTACTGAAATAACTCTAGATATAATCTTTTGGGGGTTGTATATGCTTTTGAGTAAATCAAGACTATTTTTTGAACTTGTGCCAAAACTGTGTAAAACTTCTTCCTGTTGTTAACAAAGCCTTTGGAGCTTCTTCTAAAACAGACAAGCAGAAGAGAAGCCAGCCAACTAAAATCATAGAGAAGGGGTGCTTGTGCTTATGAGAATAAAAGCATTTATGATTTTGGCACAGACCTTGCTATAATACTAAGGACTATTATTCATGAATGTTGTTATTTATATTTTGCTGCGGTGAATATACCAAGTTTGGAGTGAACTAGCTACAAAAGTCAAAGGTCCAAGCCTCTGTCACAGCTTAACTTTTGTAGAATATAGAAATATTGGCCACTTTGTTGACTTGATGACTTTCACCTTTTTGTTAGCTTCATCAAAATGGTGTCATAACATACACTGCTGAGTTTGCACCTCTGTGCGAGCTGAAACTAAGCAAAGCATCTGCTTTTTTAAACTGAATGTCTGAACTATGATAGTTATGTAAAACCCTCTGTACATCTTCATGGGAACTGGTTTAATATCTGGCTTATCCTTGCCTGTAATTAATAAGGAGAACACTAGTGAGGAAACTTTTGACCTAGAAGTGAGGTTGATGGAGATGAATGCTGTCTCACCTTTTGCTGCCTTCTTTGATTCTTTTCTTTGGCTCAATAGAGTAGTAAGTACCGGAAGAAGTCCAGGTTATATGAAGGACAGGCAGTTCTTGAAGAGTTGGATGATGCTGGAAGAAAGGAAGATCACATCAGTGGTGTGAAAAATTGGAGTGTAGCAATTCTTGATAAAGATCCCCAGCTCTAAGCAACTGTAGGACATTTTCATTTGGTAATGACTGTGAAAAATGGTCTACCTATGACCTGTAGATGGTTTTCTGCAGGATGGCAGCAAAGCAAAATGCTGTGAGGAGAGGAAACTGATTAAACAGAAGGGGAAATACAATGGAACAAAGAATGATGATGAAAAATATGTCTTTCCCTTCTCTTCTGCCACCACCCCCACCCCACTCCACCCCGAAACACATATATGGAATGGACTAACCAGCTATTATCCTGAAGCACCATATGCTTTGGGAAATGCTATGGTGGGATTTCCATTAGCCGATACTTCCTAATAAACAAAATTCACCAGACCTTGTCCAAAAATGCCTGTTCCCTGGCTCCATGGCTGTTTGATGGATGTTCTGGGGGCTGTGGCTGTCCCAGTGTGCTGTGATCTCCCTAATGGGACCTTCTTCTAATGTCATGAGGTTCCATCAAATCTCTCTCTAGGATCATCTGGACTTGTATTTGTGCCCCAATAATTCATCCTAAAGGATCTCTCTGCT